TAAAGTAAAAATATCAGAAAAATCTACTTGAGTACAGTAACGAAGTATTTGTACTTTGTTACTTCCCATCTCTGAATTTTGGTATATATTTGCTGGGGTGCATTTTGAAAAATAAATCTCAAATGTCTTTTTCTTTTTCATTTTAATTAAGTAAAAGGATGAGCGGTGTTGAAGAAGAAAATGCAAATAGGATGATTGATTACTAATTTAATTTATGAGTCAAACAATGCAGCCACATTCTTAAAATGAAAAAGCATTTCCAGAAATGCTTTTTCATTTGAAATATGCTAAAGATTTGCTTCCATAGAAAAGCCCCAGATGGGACCCTGATCAATGCCTTCCAAAACCATCGCTGCAGCTTAAGCTATCTCACATTTTAACACATCAGACTCTTCATTTGATTATTTGGGATGGAACCATTTTAAGCCTAACTTTATTCATGTTCTTCTTTAGTTTTCCTTTTCCATTTAGCGTCTGTGTGACCCTTGTTATTAAGCTATGGCTGCCATGTATGTGTCGCTGTGAGTGCCAGGGTGTTGCAGTGGGAAATTCCTAAGAGTCTCCAGGATTTTTCTTTCTGTATCTCCATCTCCATCATTCCTGGCTTGAGTCTTTCTGCACAGATTTCATGTTCTCCCTGCGAATGCATGGGTTCTCTCCAGGTACTCCGGCTTCCTCCCACAGTCCAAACATCAAACTAAATAAGTCATTTTTCTTAAAATAAGTGCATTTGTTCTTCAACTAAGGAGGTAAGCGAGACACTTTGCAAATGGACAAAGATTATTTACATTTAAAATAGGAAAAAATGTCTTATTTCAAGTGAATGTTATCTAATAATCTTATTTTAAGAGTAAAAATACTCATTCCATTGGCAGATAATCTTATTTACCTCCTCAAATTAACGGTAAAAACACATAATATAAGAGATTTAGGCTTTTTTTTAGATATTTTCTGCAGTGTGTTAGGTTAATTGACTTCCAGTGGCGGATCTAGACCAAATGTACCAGGGGGGCCAGGAGGGGGCCAGCGTGTTTTCATGGGGGCCCAGAAAAGCATGAGATAAAAAACAGGGCAAGGGATTTAAATACATTAAGAGAGCTGCAAGAAGGGAAATTTCTTTTCAAAGAGGTTAAATAAAGATTCTATTTCTTATGAGGTCAATATACATTTAAAATGTAGGAATTTTACCTATTTTTTTACTTAATTCAAGTTAAAACTAGTTTTCTATAAACTTGAATTAGAACTCAAGAAAAACTATTAAATTCATCTGTAATAATTAGAGCATTTTATTTTATTTGTTGTGGAAAAAAAACATTTAACACATGAAAACTGGAATATTATTGTTTTTGAATAATTAGTAAAACAAAATTTGTAAAGAAAAACAATGAAATAGATCCAAAGGAGATATCAGTAACCAGGTCTGTTCCAGTGCATATCTTCATTAGAATTTCTTTTAAGTATTATGTCTTTAGTACAGGGGCCAGGACATGATCTACAGGAGCACTGGCCCCCGTTGGCCCCTGTCTAGAACCGGCCATGTTGGCTTCTCTAAATGAATTGTGAGTGAATGGTTGTTTGTCTCTGTGTTGCCCTGCGATGGACCGGCGTGACCCCACCTCTCGCCCGTAGACTGATGGAGATAGGCACCAGCACCCCTTACAACACCGCTTGGGATAAGCGTGACCGGAAATGGATGGATGGATGGATGGATGGATGGATGGATGGATGGATGGATGGATGGTCTCTTGTTTACTCTGACTG